ACAGGCGTGAGCCACCACGCCCGTCGAAAAACACTATTTTAATTATCCTGTTAGAATTAATTTGAACAATCAACACAGAAACACTACTGATTTGAAGGAATTCACTTATGGAAAGTATCAAATCAAAACTGGAAACACTGATACCTAGACTCAAAGGTGAAAGTCAACAGGAGCTCCTTGGAGAGAATTGATTGCAAATCAGTCCTGATCATAACTGTTGCCATTTTATGTGTTCATGGCACTGTGCACTGTTAAGTAAATATTAATGAGTTTAGTATACTTGATAAAAATTCTGTGAGTGATGTTCCAAGAAATAAGTTTTTAAAGCAAATAAGTCCTTAAATTGGCATTTTTGACATGTAATTCTGTGCATTACTATAAACCTCGCTAAGAGTTGTAAATGTTACATTATTTAAACACTACCCAGTAATGTCCATAGGAGGTCCAGCATTTGAATATTCATTATAGGCCACAGTTCTTTTTTCTTCTTTTGAGACAGGGTCTCACTCTTTTGCCTGGGCTAGAGTACAGTGGTTTCATCATACGTCACAGCAACCCCAAACTCCTGGGCTCCTGTGATCCTCCTGTCTCAGCTTCCTGAGTAGCAGATTACAGGCACATGCCACCTTGGCCAGCTAATATTTTTGCTTTTTGTACAGACAGACTCTCTGTGTTGCTGAGGCTGGTCTCAAACTCCTGGGCTCAAGTGATCTTCCCCACTTTGGCCTCCCAAAGTACTAGGATTACAGATGTGAGCCACCATGCCTGGCCATAGTTCTTATAAATACTAATTATACCATTTTTAAAGATATTCATGTAATGAATAAAGAGTTTGTAAAAGTATTTAAAGAATAACTTAAAAAAAAAAAGAATAACTTAGATTTTGAGAATTTCCTAAGAATTCCAGAGAATTCTAATTCATTGTTTTTTAATCCTGAGGGTTATTATTTGTTAGGAATTCAGAAACACTAATTTCAAGAGGTCAAATTTATACCCGGAAGTTCAAGAACTCAAACATTTTGTTTTATTTTCAGCCACACTAAGAACAGTTCCATGTGGGGCCACAAGGTGGAGGTGACAGTTCACAGAAGTAGCTGGTTTTGGTCTCTTTTAATGAAAAGTGTTGCTCTTTACTCTTTAGAGCAGGAAAGTTTTTTTTTTTTTCTTTGCTGAAGATGGAGAAGACTTCAGAAATACCCACACATTCAGCCTATGTCTTCTAAATATTTAAGGCAGAAATAATGCTACCCAAACTGTTCCTAAAACAGAAGTGACAAAATTCACCAGTGAAGTCATATGGAGCTACAGTGTCCTTTGTTGGAAATTTTTTTAAAACTATAAATTCTATTTAAGATTTAAAATACCTATTCATGTTATCAATTTTTCCCTAAATGAGCCTTGGTAGTTGTGTCTGTCAAATAATTTGTTCATTTCATCTGTGTTCTTCATTTTGTGAGTAAACAGTTGTTTATACTATCTTCTTATCCTTTTTTTTCTCCCCTCCCCTCCCCTCCCCTCCCCTCCTCCCTCCTCCCCTCTCCCTCCCTCCGTCTTTTCCGACGAATCCACTCTGTGCCTGGGCTAGAGTGCCGTGGCGTCCAGCCTAGCATCACCAGCACTAAACTTCCTGGTTCAGCAGCTCTGCCTCAGTCGCCCGAGTAGCTGGGACTACAGGCATGCGCCACCGTGCCCAGCTAATTTTTTTCTATATATTTTTCGCTGTCCAATTAATTTCTTTCTATTTTTAGTAGAGACTCGGTCTCGCTCTTTCTCAGGCTGGTTTTGAACTTCTGAGCTCAAACGATCCACCCGCCTCAGCCTCCCAGAGTGCTAGGATTACAGGCGAGAGCCACGGTGCCCGGCCCCCTATCCTTTTAATGTCTGTAGAATCCATAGTGATGTCCCCTCTTTCATTCCCGATGATGGAAGTTTTGCTTGCTCTCTTTTTTTTCTTAATCTGCCTAGAGGTTTTTCAATTTTGTTGATCTTTTCAAAGAACTACCTTTTTGTTTCATTGTGGTTTTTTCTGTTATTTTTCTGCTGATTTTGTTTATTTCTGTTCTTTATTATTTCCTTCTTTTATTTTTTTGAGACAGAGTCTCACTCTGTTGCCTGGGCTAGAATATAGTGGTATCATCACAGCTCATAGCAACCTCAAACTCCTGGGCTCTAGCGATCCTCCTACCTCAGCCTCCCAAGTAGCTGGGACTATAGGCATATGCCACCTCACCTGGCTAATTTTTCTATTTATTTTTTTAGTAGAGGACAGGGTCTTGCTCTTGCTCTTGCTTTTGCTCAGGCTGGTCTCAAACTCCTGAGCTCAAGTGATCCTCCCGCATCAGCCTCCCGAAGTGTTAAGGTTACAGGCGTGAGCCATGGTGTCTGGACTCTTATTTCCTTCTTTCTATTTTCTTTGGGTTTAATTTGCTCTTTTTCTATTGTAGTTTCTTAACATAGAAGCTTAGGTTATTGATTTGAGGCCTTTTCTTTTCTAATATAAGCATTTTATTGCTATAAATTTACCTCTAAACACTGCTATAGCCACCTCCCACAAATTTTGATACGTTGTATTTTTATTTTTATTCAATCCAAAATGTTTTTTACTAATCCTAGAAAATTCTTATTAGCTTTTCTCTCTTAATATAGTGTCTCTCCTTTGTTAATTTTGCTATCTCTACAACAGTCTGTTTGATACAATTTGGGCCATTACCTTTTATCCCCTTGTTTCTTAATCTCCTTTTTATAATTTTCATCACATTTTTTTTCTTTTGCATTCTCATTAATTTTCTCAGCTGTACAATTAACCTTTTTCAACTTTGCCTAAACCATCCATTAATATTTTAGTTTTAGTGCCCTGTATCTTTCATTTCTAGAGAATATATTTAATTCTTTTAAAAATCTGCCTTTTCTTTTTTTAAGTTAAACAGAATTGTGTAATCTTTTATAGGTTATTCCATTTTATGAAAAATTCTGTTTGTTAGTGTTATCCTTCTGTTTATCTGCTTATTCTTGCTTCGTGTGAATTATTTGCCAAAGCACAGCTTTTTGAGACTCCCTGGCCCCATGAGAATTCTTGTAATCTGTAATGTGAAAGCTTCCCTCCAAAGGAGTATTTTATATGTGTCAAGAATGTTTATGACCATTTTTTATTTTTTCTTTTTTTGTTTTTTGAGATTGGGATCTCACTATGTTGCCTAGGCTGGATTTGAACTCCTAGGCTTAGGTGATCCTCCTGCCTCAGCCTCCTGAGTAACTGTAGGACATCAGGTGTGCACTATCACAACTGGCTTGTGAGCATTTTTATATCATCTTTAAAGTCTTTGTTAGATAATTCCAACATCTATGGCATCTTAGCATTAATGCTGGTTGTCTTTTCTGGTTCTGCATATGCTGAGTAATTTTGGATTATATCCTAGCTATTTTCATTATGATTCTATGAATCTGTGGGTCTTGTTTTAATCTGCCAATTTGCTAGTACTTCAAATTCTGGCTTCACCAATATGCCTGTTCCTATTTACTTTTCAGAGTCCTTAAATAGCTATGCCATGCATCTGTCCTGGTTTTATCGCTGCATTTATTGGGAAAGACAGGGTGGAATTGCTTGCTCCATCTTAACTAGAACTTTCAGAGAGAATTACATTTGATTTGTTCAAATAATACTAGATCCTGATAACTTTTAGGTTAATTTATTGAGATTTTAACCTCAACTTTAAATCCCAAACCTAAATTTGGCATACAGACTCTACTTTGAATTTTGAGGTGAGACTTTTTCTTCTTTCTACAGGGCGCAGCAGAAACAGACAAAATTCTGTGCTTTTTTTCCTATGCCACTAGGCAAGTTTTTTCTATTCTTGCAATAAGAATTTTAGGGCCAGGCACAGTGGCTCATGCCTGTAATCCCAGCATTCTGAGAAGCCAAGGTAAAAGGATCACTTGAGGCCAGAGGTTCACGACTAGTCTGGGGAAGACCTCCTCTCTACAAAAAATTGGGGGGAAAAATACTGGGCACAGGGACATGAGCCTGTAATCCCAGCTGCTTGGGAGGCTGAGGCTGGAGGATCACTTGAGCCAGGAGTTTGGGGTTACATTGAGCTATGATTGTGCCACTGCATTCCAGCCTAGGGAACCCTGTGTCTCCAATTTTAAAAATAAAGGGCGGGGGGAGAATTTTAGCTTTATGCAGGGCATGGAGTTTTAGTCTCAGTTTCAACTCTCATTCTATGGTATGTTCATTTTTCTTTCCCCAGTGCAGTGTTAAAATCTTTACATCAGGCTCTCCAGGGCAGCTGTACCATTGGACCCATTAGTAGAAGTATCCTTCTTTGTTTCTGACACCTGTGGATTTCCCTTCTGTCTTTTAAATGTAGCTGTCCAGTAAAATAATGTTTTACATTTATACTTTAGCTAATCATAAGGATTTGCAGCAGAAAGATTTTCGGGTTTTCTTAACCACTATGTTACTGAAATAAATACTTGTTATAGAATTTTTCTTTTAAAATTCAATTGATGTGCATAAAAATTAAAGGCCTAACTAGCATAGAAACTAATTTATTGCTAGAATGGCCATCATTTTTGATACACATGTGCTATGTGTGTCTATATAATTTTATGTTTTAGACTGAAGATTATTATTATGTCTACACTGAAGTAGGATTAAAAGAGTTATTTCTAGCTCATATGACTCTAGAAAAGGTTTGATTTGAGAAAAACGTTCTCAGTGTAATGAAATTAATACTGGTTTTACATTATAACTTGCAGGTATTGTGGAAAGGGCAATTTTTAACTTCAAGAAGAAAAATAAAACCACTGCTCTAAATACTAATAGCTAAAGAGAACTGAGGTTTGTGTAGTTACTTTCACCTTAGTGTTTAGGTTGAATTCTTGGCATTTGATGTCAAATTCAATAAGAATCTCAGTTTAGTACATAAGGTTATATCCATTTCCTTTTACTTTATAGTGGTTTCTTCTCACAAACACATTCTTCTCTTCTTTCCTGCCAGGAATGAGTAGCGACAGTGACATCGAATGTGACACTGAGAATGAGGAGCAGGAAGAGCACACCAACGTGGGCGGATTTAACGACTCTTTTATGGCACAGCCCGCAGATGAAGGTGCAACACATGATGTCATTTTACACAGATTATAAAACCATCGCTGCTGCTTCTTTTTCTTGTTGTTGTTCTGCTACTTCTGCTCTGCCGCTTTTGCTGCTTCTCCTTCTTTTTTTTTTTTTTTTTTTTTTTTTTAATTATTGTCATTTGTGAGACAGCATTCTTTGGTAAACTATATGGTGAGTACTGGCAAAATTTGGTAGGTAATGTTTGGCTTGGTTAGCACCTAGAGAGTGCTAATTATTGGGTAGGGAAGGGGTCCATAGCCTGTGACCTGGGAATGGCTTTTATGTTCATTATAAACAGTTGTAAAAAACAAAAAAGAATTTTCCACAGAGGCCATTTGTGGCCTGCAGTGCTTAAATGTTTACTATCTGTCCTTTATCGAAAATATTTGCTAATCCCTGGGGAAGTTTCAGATGTTTGATTTCCCCCAAACCCTGGAGATTTTTCTAGCTTACTATATGACTTTCCGATTTCTTAGAAATGCATGTGGATTATAGAATCATCGATTTTTTTTTTTAATTTTTAATTTTTTTTAAGAAACAGTTTCATTTTGTCACCCACCCAGGCTGGAGTGCAGGGGCACAATCATAGCTCACTGAAACCATGAACTCCTAGGGTCAAGGGATCCTCCTGCCTCGGCCTCCAAGTAGCTGGGACTGTAGACATGCACCACTATGCCTGGCTTTTTTTATTTTTATAGAGATGGGGTCTTGTTATATTGCCCAGTTTGGTCTCCAACTCCTGGCCTCAAGTGATCCTCCCAACTTGGCCTTCCAAAGTACTGGGCTTACAGTGTTGGGATTCCCATGCCCAGCCTTGGAATCATCAATTTTTACTTCCTCCTACCCCCAAAAAAATTCTTAGGAAAAAACTCATCAAGGGAAACCTGCTGTGAATATTTTAATTTGTTTTCTTCTGTTTTTATTTGCATTTGTTTTACCTAAGTATTTTATAAATAGTTTAGTATTCTGATTTTTTCGCTTAAATGTATTTTATTTAAAATTTCATAAACTTCACTTTTTATGGCAACCTAATATTCTGTCACATGGATATACCATAACTATTCCACTATGAAGCAGTTTTCTAAAATTCACACATAAACAATGAAGGGATATACTGTGAAGTTAGAGAAGTACTCATTTAAACTTACCCAGATAAACTTAATAATCTGAGCATCCCTCTGCAATATTTCCTGGAATTGTCAGGCTTGTGCTAATTTTTAGCTTTATGTTTTACATATTTCCCTGGTGGTCTAGTATCTTTTTCAGAACAGAGCCAAGCATTAGATGATCTGTAAGTATTAAGGCATCTTCAATATTATCCTCTGCTTCTAAAGAAGCATCCAAATTTTGGGCATATTATTTTGAGTGCTGGTGCATTTTTGTAGTGATGTTTTTGCATGTGCAATTTAATTGGCTTTGAAATGTATTTTATATTTGCAGTGTCTTGAAGTCTTGAGAGAGTACATCATTATTTCTTGTTCCCTTCCTCAGCTGCTCCCACAGTGTCCCTAGGAGGACAAAGTGGAAGCAATGCCTTTCATCTTCTAATTGTGGGTTTCTCTTACACGTTTTTTCTCCTTTATTTTTCCTTTGTATTTTCTTATACCTAACTTCAGATCACAGATTATCTGAAGTCAGAGATTTGTTCACAACCCAGCACATCTTTATTGTTTAAATAACGCTTTTGTAAGATCATTTAAAGACTTCGGAAGGAAAAAATATTCTTCTTGTTATATTGTGTGCTTTTAAATTTTAAAAGTTTTTGGCTTGGTCAGAAGGATTTGTTAAAAAAGTAAATTTTAAAAGTTTTATCTTTTTATTTTCTACCTTAGATACACATTCCAGTTTTCCTGATGGTGAACAAATAGGCCCTGAAGATCTCAGCTTCAGTACTGATGAAAACAGTGGAAGGTAATTGCCAAATCGAGAGCACTGACTTGCAAGCTACCTTGATTCTGAATTTTGCTGTAGTTGGTGCTCAAATTTGCCATCAGTCAGATAATCAGATTTGGTCTTATTTTTTCATCTTCTCTACCTGAAATAGTAATTTGGAAACTATTAGAAAGTAGCACAATTCTAGTATAAGACAGTAGTACATGGAGAAAAAATTAATAGGGTGGGAAGAGTTCTTTGTAATGTAACGAAGTAACAATATAGTCCTCAATTAATTTAGTAAATTTGTGCATTCACAAAAGGTAGTTTGTCTACTACAACAGAAGGCCAACTAGCCACCAGAAAATGTTCCTACAAACAATGCATGCACTCAGTAACCTGCTCAGCATCGGTGCTGTGTGTTCAGCTAGACACTCAGTTGTGTTTAAATGACCACCTTTATAGTCAGGTTTAATCACAGTTTATAGTTTCATTAGTGTCTGTAGATTAATGAACAGAACAATTATTTGTGAACAGATTCTGCCCCGAAGACACTTTGTGTGAATAACTAAAGTAACACTAGACTGAATCTCCTTTTTAGAGTATGTTGACAAACTAAAATTTATCTTTTCCCACTTGTTTGAGTACAGGCACACTTTTTAATGGCACATGATCTCTCTATTGTGTGACTTTTGCAAATGTAATTTTAAATAAGTTAATGTGGATTGGTTATGTTCCTTGTCATGTGGACACATGTAAAATTATTTCATTTTTTTCTGCCTCTTACTATATAACTATAGTGCAATGAATATTTTAAAACTCTCCTATTTTCATTAGACATTGATTTTAGTTTTAATACATTTAAAGATTCATACATATTGCACAGTGACTTAAATCAAAGTGAAACGGTGAAATAAGGTTTTCTTTCATACTCATAATTAGCCCAAAATAATTTCCAAGCTTTGCCATTGTGCTCCTGCATTTGTGTTTGAGCTGCTATATATCTGAAAATACACTGAAAGTTGACTAAGAGACTATTGAAAAAAGCATGAATAATTATATATACATGTGATATACATTTCATCTATTATATTTTACTTAATGAATATTATTCACTTTTCCATGTCTAATATCTTGCTTGAATGCCATGATTCATAGTTTACTTTTGTTCAAAGTAGTTTGCACTTTTTGTTAATAAAATGAACTTGAAAAAATGTGCCTCTGCTATTTATTAAAAGTGGGACCAGAAACTCTGTTTTTCTCTTCATATTGCCTGTGGCTATCTAGCAATGTAGACAAGATCAGACATTTGGTTAGTTTGTTTTTAGTTTTGTGATGAGAAGTGATGGGCAGCTTTTATCCCAGTCATTCTAAAATCACAACGAACTTGAAAGACCAGAAGATTTCTTCAGAGATGATAGTTTTTAGTTCAGACTGGTTAGTTTTAGTAGTGAAGCTTTTAGAAAATGTAATTCCTGCCCCAGCTGCTGGTCATCTTTTATATTAATACTAAGTCTGTACACAGTTCCTTAATGATGCCAAGGCACACCAGAGATTTTCCTCTTCCTTGATATGATTTGCCTACCTTGGCTGTGCGATTTTAGGTAGCAGTAAGGGAGGGAAGAGGCACAGAAGAGTCAGTTGCTCTACTTTGCTGGTTCTACTTTATTGCATTTTCTGTACCCAGATAGAGACCTCACTGGTTTTGTTTGTTTTTAACCTTTCCTCTTTTACTGAAGGGCATAATTTCTCTTAGACCAGCGGTCCCCAACCTTTTTGGCACCAGGGACCAGTTTCACTGAAGACAATTTTTCCAGGGACAGGATAGGGGTGGGAGGGTGGTTTTTAGGATCAAACTCATTACATTTATTATGTGGTCAAACCTCTCTGCTAATGATAGTCTGTATTTGCAGCTGCTCCCTAGCGCTGTTATCATCACTGCCTCAGCTGCACCTCAGATCATCAGACATTTGATTTTCATAAGGAGCACACACCCTAGATCTCTCGCACGCGCAGTTTCCAGTAGGGTTTGTGCTCCTATGAGAGTCCAGTGCAGCAGCTGATCTGACAGGAGGCGGAGCTTATGTGGTAATGTGGAGGGGCTGTAAATACAGATGAAGCTTCCCTCACCCACCCTGCTCACCTCATGTTGTATGGCCCAGTTCCTAACAGATACGGGTACTGGGCCCTGGGGGTTGTGGACCACAGTCTTAGACTTTCTGCTGTTACCTTGCTTCATATGTAGTATTTTTTATCTCAAGTACATTCCTAGAAAATTTCTCCTTAATGCGGTTTTCTCTTAGGCCTGAAGATACAGTATTAATGCTTCTATTGTGCATGAGCATACTGCTTCTGTACAACTTTGACAGCCTTTGTCACTGAATCCTTAAGTAGGTAACCTTTGAGGTGGATGGATGTACCCTACCCATTTGGTAGAGGAATCTGAGGTTCAAAGAGATTGTGTGATTCTCTTAAGGTTTAACACCACTGGCAGGGATGGAAAAAATTGATCTGTTGCCTTTTCCAGTTCACCACATTTGAACCAAACTCAGCATTCTGACACCTAGTAATTAAAAACCTAAAGATGATCCTATTTTTTTCATCTTTTAGTTTTGAGATAATTTTAGATTTACAAAAGTTGTAAAAATCATGAGTTCCCATACTCTTTGCCTAGCTTCTCCTTTTGTTGATGTCTTACATTATAACAGAACATTGATCAAACCTAATAGATTAATCTTAGTGATAGTACTCTTAACCAAATTACTCAATTTGTTCATAATTCACCAGTTATTTCACTAATGTTCTTTGCTGTTCCAGGAACCAGTCCAGGATCCCACATTGTATTTTGTTACCATGTTTCCTTAGTATCTCCTCTACTCTGTGATAGTTCTTCAGTCTTTCCTTGCTTTCATGACCCTGATATTTAATGTTCTTCTATTTGGGTTTATCTGAAGCTTGCTTATATGAAGTTGAGGTTATGCATTTTGGGAAAGGCTGCTGCAGAGGTGATGTGCCTTTCTCAGTGTATATGGTATTGATGATTTTTATTGGTGATGTTAACCTTGATTACTTGGCTAAAGTGGTGTCTGCCATTATTCCTTACTGTAAATTTACTGTTTTTCCCTCCATAATTACTAAATATTAGGGGCAGATACTTTGAGGCTATGTAGTTACCCTGTTTCTACTAAATTCTTGTCCTCGGATTTTAGCACCCACTAGTAGTGGATCATTTTGATGACACTGCAGTGTTCTAATGGTAGTTTTCTAGGTCCCTAATTTCTTCTGTTTTTTTATTAGAATACTATAAGGAAAAGTCCCTTCATCCACTTTTACTTTTTTATTTACCTGCCTATTTATATTAATGTGCACTAATGCGTATTTGTTTTGTTCAGTTATGATCCCATACTGTCATCATTTTGCACTTGGCTTGTTGCAGTTTTGGCCATTGGAAGCTCTTTCAGATTGGCTCGTGTCCTTTTGTTATGTCCCATTTTTGTTTTTTTGTTTTTTTAAGCATTTCTTTACTTTTTGAAACCATGAGATAATCCAAGTTCATCGTGTATTTTCCCTGCCCCAGTCATGGAGTCAGCCACTTCTTGGGGGAACCATTGTTTTATTGGAGAATAGTATTTAGAAACAAAGATACAGGTGCTGTGTACTTACTGTTACTAGAGCGTCACTGCCTCCAGTCCCTCTAAGTGGTTAGAATAGGGAATATATGTATACAGTCATCCCTCAGTGTCTGCAGGGAGATTGGCTCATGGACACCAAAATCTGAAGATTTTACATAAGTCCCTTATGTTCCCTGGTCATGTATGCCTTATATAAAATGGCATGGTATTTGCATATAACCTACGTATGTCTCCTCCTATATACTTTAAATCATCTCTACATTACTTATAATACCTAATACAGTATAAATGCTATGTAAGTAGTTGTTATACTGTATTTTATCAATATGTTTTATTTTTTTAAAAAAATATTTTCAATCCATGGTTAGTTAAATTCACAGATGTGGAACACCAGGGCGTAGACGGTTGACTATACTTACTCATGCAAATACACACATGTATTTCTCTATATATCTTTGTAAAACTATTTTTGTTTTAAAGGAAAACTGTATGCTGATATTGCTACCAATTTAACACCAGTTCAGCTCCACAGGGCTCATTCTAGTTTTTGCTCTTACTTAATATTTATAATGTTTTTCTTTAACGGTGAGAAGTCTGGTTGTCATTAGAAACAAACTTACTTATAAATTATGCAAACTAATACACTAACAAAGTAGTTAGAACTGTTGACCTCCATACCCCTGTGAGAAACAAGCTTAGCACCTAGAGTATGGTGCTTGTACAGTTCTTTTTGTCTTCATCTTTTCAGTGTTATCTAAATGCACTGCCCACCGTGCCAAGAAGGCCCCTGGTATCTTTTCAGTATTATGTCAGAAGACGTTTTCAGTTATTTAGGTCCTTAGATTCAGAATTATATTAGTTTCTTTCTTTCCTATCCCCTTCATTGTGATTCATTTGTAATACAGTTAGATTCATCTGTTACAGTCTACATTCTGTCCTCCCCCACATATCCTGATTGATTTTTAAATTTACATATATTAAAATTCAGTTTGTCTGGTATACAGTTCTGTGGGTTTTGACAAATGTCACATATCCACCAACATGATACTACACAGAACATTTCGGCTCTTCCAAAAATTCCCTTGGGCTGGCCCCAGAAACTCCCGGCTATCACTGATCTGTTCTCTGTCCTTTTAGTTTTCCTTTTCCAGAGAGTTATAATGTGTAGCCTTCTGCTTAGCAAAATGTAGTTAATTTTCATCCAGCTTGTGGGAATCAGTACTTCATGCCTTTTTTATTGCTGAGTAGTAGTCTACCATGTGGATATATACTACAGTTTATTTACTTACCCATTGAAGGACATTTGGATTACTTATAGTTTAGGGTGATTGTGAACCCTATGAACATTTGTATACAGATGTTTGTGTGCACATAAGCTTTTATTTTCTAGGGCTGCAGTCCCCAACC